CCAGGATGTATCAAATGCATACTACTTCTGTCAAATAATTTAGAAGTAGAAAATGCATAGGCAATGAAATATAAACTGCCAAACAAGATCCTCTGAACAAGTCATATGAAATAAACGTATTTTGTCGAGGACACAAAACGTTTTAAAAAATGACAACGCATTATAATATACAGTCAAACATGTAAATGTGACCACTGACAATGCTCATCTTAGCTGGTCACATTAGTAGATTTCACTATACAAATAAACACACAAGTATACACATTTATCTTTTATTAGTACTTTTCATAAGAAAACTTCATGTTATTTTAATTTCTTATGTATAACTTAAAACCATTTTTTCTTATAACGATTTATATCATTTTGGTTTTTTCTTTGTTTTACTTTTTGCTTAATAAAATAAAGTTATTAAACGAGTGAGAATGAACAATTGTTAAACGTAAGATAAGTGTGTCAACTCAACATAAGTTTACTCCTCTGTATTAAAGCTTTAGTTGTGGTGGAAATTGGCATAAATTCAACGTTAGGGGAGATCGGGGCAAGATCGGCATGTTAAGCTTTACTTAAATTTTGTGTAATAAATACTGCTGTAAACTGAAAAAAAAGCTTTGCATNTTTATAAAATTTTAAGTACTTTAATGAAAATAACAAGCAAAAAATTATAGGAAAAATAGCTATATTATTTTTATTATTTTCCTGTTTAGCTATATCAGCAAAATGCAGGGTAAATTCACACACACATACACACATATTTATACAGCAAGTCCTCACTTAATGTCATCAAGGAAAAAATACAAGTACATTTACAATTATTGTTATTGAAATTTCTTTATAAACAATAAAATGGATTGTACGAGATGAAAAATAAATGCTAGAGGACACTAGGGTGGGGCAAGCCCACTCTAGCATTGTCCATCCTACCCTACAGCCCACCTTACAATTTCACCCACCTATCTACCCACCCTGAAATAATTTATTCAATCTATCTATAACCATTGTTGGGTAGTATTTTAAATGTAAATTGATTGTTTGCTAATTAATTACACATTCTCACAACTTCTTTCTGCTTATACATCTTACTGAAAATTAATAGCTTAATTTTAAAAATTAGTTTGTTTGATGATAAAATGTTTACCTGATATACTAAAACAATATTCTGTCCTCCCAGAATAAAAATCCTAGTGCTATTATTGACTGGAAGTTGCAAACATGATCCACTTTGAATCATAGCTGAATTATATCTTGTTTATATTATTTAGCCTTTAGTAAAATTGTTTTCATTGTTATTGCTTAATGTTGCAGTTTCAAAGAACCTATTGATGATGATAAGTGAGAACTTGCTGTATACATACATACATATACAATAAAACTGACAGCTAAACAGAAAACAATATTTTTTTAATAGTCTTTGATTTCAAAGAATATTAAGTGAAGTTCATATTTTTATAAATAACATTATATATACTTTATTTTTTGTCTATACTGTTTTGAATAGAATTATTCAATTATTTTTGGGATTTTTAGACTTTCTGGATTCAATAACTTTAAAAACATTAATTAATATCTACTTTTTGTAAATATTGCTTGAAGTTAAACAATGAAGAACCAGAATCACAAATTTTTCGAGCAAAACAGTCTTTAATCTTTTAAAATGTTAAATATATAAAGCAATTAACTGAAAATGTATTATTATTATTGTAAAGGATAGTGAGGAGGGAAGCTGGAGAATTTTCCTGGGTCCAGAGAAAACTTAGCAAACTGTAGCGATTCCTAAAGAATTAATAGTATTTTTACTAAGAGAAAATAAATTCTTTAAGACAACTTTTTATTAATAAAAATAACTTCTACATATTTCATTTGGTCAAAAAACAAAAGATTATAGGGCTTTCTAAGAGCAAAAGGAAATACACTATCCCTAGGACCTATACAAGCACTTGATGCCTTGGTCAGAGTTGTTTGTTAACTTTTGTTTAATCAGAAAAAATTCAGATAAATAATATTTAAATATAAAAATTTTGATCAATAAGCTCTACTGCAGGGGTGTGCGAGCCGCATGCGGCCCAATGCAAGTTCCAATGCGGCCCAATAAAGGTGTAAACAAAACCGACAAATGTTTTAATTTTTTATTATTTATTTATTTCAACGGCATAAACTCAGAAAAGAAGTTTCACAAAGCCATAAACCTTTATTCATATTTTAGTTTTGAGTGGAAATGAAATATTTTCATGTACTTGGAGATGTGTGAATGAGGAAGGATTACTAAATAAAGCTGGAGTTGTGACTCAAAGGATTATAGACCCAAATTTGGTGAAAGGAGAGAAAGGACAAAAGATAAAAAGTTGTCAGAAAGGTTAAATAGTTCTTCTGTTAGGCAAATATTGAGTCTTAATTTTCCAACCTTTCTCACTTCTTTATCTTTTGTCCTTTCTCTTCTTTTTCCGAATTTGGCTCTATAATCCTTTGAGTCAAAACTCCAGCTTTATTTAGTATTCCTTCCAGCGTTGCAAGATTTGGCTACATTGCGCCAAATGTGGCTACTTTTTTTAGTTTAACGTAAAAAAATATCATTTGGCGCTTTGGCTACTTTTGGGGCTACATATCATTTATAAATATATTAGTTGAATAAAAATGCACTTTAAAATGGTGTTTCGTCGCTTTTTATTAATCAGAGACTCAAATAAACCAAATATTTGCGTTTTATCAAATAAATGAATTTATCTATTTCTAAGTAAAAATTGAAAGTGTCTGTAGAAGTAATTTTTTAAAATATCCTGTTTCGTGATAAAGTTTTAATACTTATTATTATAATCTAGACATGTTAATCCTTAAATATACTTGTATATTGGGCCACAAGTATATATTATATATACTTGTGGCCCAAAACTCCTTGACTTCTTCCAATGCGGCCCAGAGAAACAAAAAGGTTGGACACCCCTGCTCTACTGGATCTAAATTTCTATGTAAAAACAATATGTATATTGTTAACAAGAGTATTGAATACAAAATTACAGTCTAGACATAAATTATCTTATTCATTATTATTTTTAATAACAAACTCGTGACTGATTTTGAGTTTTATTTTTATCTTTTTCAACGTTAACATGAATAGATATTTGCAGTGAATTAATGTATAAATATTTGAAAATATAACATGTTCTATTATAATAAAATATATTTTGTAAGTGTGAAACTAGTTATTTACATTTACAAATTTAAAAATGTAGTTATTTACAGTTATTACTTTCTACATGTAAAGATTTTTAATAGCTATTTTCTTACTCATCAAATTTCATATTCTCTTAAAAGTGTAGCTGTATTAAAGCCACCAGATTAAATTGGGCTTTACGTCACTACTAATAATTATTAAATACAGGTTATTTTGGCACTAGATATAGCCCAGTTTAATCCAGTTATCATTTGCCTCTATAATCATCAGGCATTGACATGTTTATATATTGTAGTTGTACCTACACTAATTTTTCAATCTCAAAAATTCTACTGTTAAAATCAGTAACTAAATTAAATAAAACATTTAATTGCAACAATTTTAAAAATTATTTTCATGTAAATGATATTTATTTAAAAGTTTTAAAGTTTAAAATAAATTGGAATCATTAATATACTATAAGATGGTTTTCTATCTACAGTAATTGACTAATTTATCAAGAGGTCAATTTACATCACTCTCTAAGGATATTGCTTTAAATTAAGTTTTATTATATAAACAAGAGATTTAAGAATGGGAACATTGAAACATGTGGTGTCTTTGATTGTATAAGTTCAAATTTAATAACATATATAAGATTTCTTATATAAATATATTTTAATTGTTGTAATCTCTAGAATTTTTAATGTCTTTCCAATAAATATAATAAAATTCCATTAGCTTTCATAGACCAATAGCATATATACCAGTAGAATGTTTGTTTACTTTTCTGGCTGTTATATGATTGAGGGAAAGTATGACAATTGTTCAAAAAATGACCTTCCAAGATTTTTATATTTTTGGACTTGAGATCTTGAAATATTGAGAAATGCAAAAAAACATTGGGAAGTTTTTGTATGTTTTGATGTTATTGTGTGTGTGTTTATGAGGGACATGATTTTTTTCACCCACTTTTAAGCTTAACTCCTGTGCCTTTTGTTGAGAAATTTTCTGAAATTTTGCAGGGAGTTTTATTTATTAGGGAGAAATGTTTCTTGAAATTTTCAGAAAAATTGGATCATTGGTTCAGGAGATATTAAGGGGGTGGAACCAATCTGAAGACTTAATGGTAATGATAGCAATTACTAGAGATGAATGCGGGAAAGTCCAGCAACAACATAGACACTAATAAAAAAGCTGGCAATTAGTTTGAGCATTTCAGTAAAAGTCAACAAAATACCGATAAAAATTGTTATTGATTTTACATCTCAAAACCATTAGAATTTCCTACTGGTTTTCATTGGTTCTTGTTATTTTTTAACAGCTTAGTTTATAAGTTGTTATGAATGGCAGAGCTTGTAAATTATGTTATTATATTCAGTAAATAAACTAAATCGTAGTTAAATAATTAATGAATATTTAAATTAAGGAGAAAGTTAAAGAAACAGTAAAATTTCATGAACATATTTAGAAAAATTGTTTTTTTAAATGTAAAAATAAATTGCTGCAAGATATTTATAGGAAGCCACTATTAAGTTGTCTTGATTTTTACTGTCAAAAAAGATGTTTTAATTGGGGCAACATCATTTTTCTATATTTATAATTAAACTTCGAATATAATAAGCTTTTAAATATGGCTTAAATTAAAAAATTTGATATTATATTAATGAATTCTTAAATATGTAAAAAATTTGATTGATATTTGGATGATCCTGAGTGACTGTGATGCATTGAATAATTCTCAATCTTGAGTTAAACTTTTAACTAATGTTTCAAGAAGAGCAAACAGAACAAATATCTTTTTCACTATTGTCATTTTTATAAAACTATAGATTTTATGAAGCTTTTCTTTCTAGAAAGGCTAAAATAGTGCATTATAATCACAGGTACTAATAAATCCAGATTATAAAATTAATTTTTTTAAAACATCTTGATTTTTACAGCAGTCTCCAGAAAAATTGGAAGAAGCAATTCCTAAGCAAGAAAGTATTCCTGAAAAGGTAATAATATAATAATTTATACATATACATATATATGTATATCTATATACTGGATATGTATATATAGAAATTAACACATTAAGCACCACAATAGAGCAGCATAAAATATCACACCGGACCATGATCATTTTTATATTCAAAATAGCACAAAAGTTATGGCCATTTAATGATTTTGTCCTCTTTGTTAAAAAACATTTTTCATTTTTTTCTCTATTTGTAGGCATTTGCAACCCATGGCCTGAATGATTTTTTTCTGATCATGTTATGCCATCTTTTATGCTCATCAGGTTCTAAATTAAACAGAACTTTTACCACATGAATGTATAAATTGTAGGTTGCATAAATGGACTGATACAAATCTAAGAAAAATAGAATAACTACTAAAATAATATACTTATTGGTTTTTTTTACCATTATTGTTTACAAAAAGAAAATTGAAATTGTTTTGTGCTTTATATTTTCATGATATTGTACTTATTCACATTCATTGTACAAGAAAAACTTTAGAAAAACAAATTTTGCATATTTCTCATATTTTATAGGGGAAAAAAATAAAGTTTTTTTAATATGATAGAATGCTAATAGAAATTTATTGGGCCAAGTACAATTTCCATTTCCACAGGCCATGCTCTAAGTAGTTCTATTATATTTACATGGCTAGCATGTAAATATAATGTAACTAATATAATCTGTGCTGTGTTACTTTGGTATAATGTTATATACCAAAGTAACACAGCACAGATTTCAATATTTAGTATGTGTTGCATTTCTACAAACACATGGCCTGAGTGAATAGCTGTGTGTGTTGCATATTTGTAATACATGTTGCTTAATGTGTTAAAATAATGAAAGCATATGGGGAAATCAAAAATTGAATAACACAGTATATATGTATTATATTGTCTTTCCATAATTAATTTCCAAAAATTCAAACAAAAATTTTGGAATTAGCATTATTAATATTTTTAATTTTATTGTTGTTTAAATATGATTTTTAAATGCTTTTGTCTTTGGGAAACTATATTTTATATGAGGGGAGTCTGATATTAAAGATATAGGCCAAACTTACACTAACATTTATAATTAAAGAAAATATTTAATACATTCCACAAAAACCAATAAATAAAACCATACTTTTGTTTATTTCTCGACATAATTGCCATAAACGTTGAGACATTTATCCCAGCTTGATACCAGTTTGAACATCCCTTACAGGACTGTTGCTTGAAGTACTCAAGAATGGTGTCATCCAATTCCTCCTGATCTGCAAAGCATTTCCCCACCAAAAATTTCTTTAAAGGTCCAAGTAAATAAAAATCTGACCGGGAGGGGCTAAACTTGGACTATATGGAGGATGTTGCAGGACCTTCCAATTCCGCTGTGCCAACCACAGTTTGGTTTGATTTGACGTGTGGAGTATAGTCCAGATTTAGCTCCCTTGGATTTTCATTTATTTGGACCTTTAAAGAAATTTTTGGCGGGGAAACGCTTTACGGATCAGGAGGAATTGGAAAACATCGTTCTGGACTACTTCAAGCAACAGTATTGTGAAGGAATGTTCAAACTGGTGTCACGCTGGGATAAATGTCTCAACGTTTATGGCGATTATGTCGAGAAATAAACAAAAGTATGATTTTGTTTATTGGTTTTTGTGGAATGTACATTTATAATTAAAGAAAATATTTAATAATGTAATTTTGGCTTGTACCTTTAATATCAGACTCCCCTCATATAATCAAATGTCTGAGTTGTATTTCTTGGTTGATTATAAATAAGTTTTGATTTAAAAATTTTGGGAAAATTTTCTGATAAAAACCATATTTTTAAACATTCCTAGTTTTAACTGCAATAACAAAATATTTAATTTAAAATTTCTACATTTAGAATTTGAGAATATTTGAATATGTATCATTAATGATTTAATTGATTAAGAATCAACAGTTAATTTTTCAAATTTTACTGTACTGTACATTCTATATAAAACTTTAAACAAAAAGCAGTTAAGATTCTTTTGAAAAGTTTCATTTTTTTCTAAGAAAGGTGCAATATACAAAAAACTATTGAAATGTTCTTTCATTTATACTTTAATTTTATTTAAACAGTTTGAACAAGAGAGAAATATTGCATTTAGAATTATTCCAATAAAGATTAAAAATTGGATCATATCTGATAATATTTAAGTCTTTCAAACAAACTTTAGATTACATCAATAAGAATTTTCCATAAATTATGATCCCATAGAAGCACAATATGAAGCCATCGTTATATTTTGAAACCTTGAAATTTCTTGCAAGAATATTTTCAGTTTTGAAGATTTTGTATGCAGAATATTCTATTGAGCTTTTCAATAAATGAATTCTTTCAATATATCTGTCCTATACTTTAGTTTGCCTACTCTGATTCTCTCTTTATTTAAGGCAAAGATAAATTATTAAAACTCAATAACTTTTTAAAAAATAATCAGTACAGTATCTTAATATATTTAAAAAAATAACATTTTACTATAAAAATTTATTTCAAAGAGGAATGAATAGTTGATTTACTAATAAATCCAGATTATAAAATTAATTTTTTTAAAANAACTTCATTCAGAATCTCTTTGAAAATAATCTAAAAATAAGTTTTTAAGTCAGAATTATAATCAACATAATTTAAAATACAATAATAAATATTTTTTTGTCTTTTTACTTATTTTATTTTTATTTTTACTTTTAAGTCAGTAATTATTTATACTAAATATAAAGTTAACCAAAAATACTGTTTTTATTTATCTTATGCTAACTTCAATCAAATATGCTAATGAAATAATTTACTAAATTTTTATCATTTATATCAATATACAAGCTTATATTTATTTTAAAATATAGACAGATTCAGTTGCAAGTCCTCCTCTAGTCCAGGAAATAGAACCAAGTAAAACTGAAGCTACAAAACCAAGTCAAGTTGAAATAACAGAACCAAGTCAATCAGAAGAGAAAGAAGTAATTATGCATATATTATTATTTAAGATTATTATATGATTATAATAGTAATTTATTCAACAATTTTTAATTAGCTACTTAAAAACTAACAATTTGAGAATTTTATTTTTATACATTGTAATCATGTAAGTTGCTGGAAAAATTAAAACACACTAATAAATAGTCTTTTCTAAACTTTTCACATTTTTAAAATATTATTATTTAAGAATAATGGAATTAAAATAACTCTGGAAACAATAAAATTAAAACATATAAATTTATCAAGTGATATGGGGATGATCTTTGACTCCTGATAAGTCAATAAGAAATTTTTTTTGTAAACAAGTGAGCACACACTACGTGACATTTGAAATACAGTAAAGTTCTTTCCAAATTTTTTTAATACTCTGATTTTCTTTTTCCATTTTTCTCAATAAACTAACCATACATACCTTGACTTATATAGGTTAATGCAGCATTTCTCAACGCTGGGACAGGTGGTCCACAGCGCACTTAATTAAATTGAAAGTAAACTTGTGAGGCTCCAGAAGTGGACTGGGACCACACATACAGAAAAATTAAATTTCGTTTTCTTGTATAAAAGGAAAAAATAATAATAATTATATTTTATAAAAACTGGCAAAAAACAAAGGGATAGGAAAATAGAAAATTTCACGTTCATAAAAGAACAAGTTTGAAGAAAATTCTTAGAAAAATGTACTTCTCAAATTTAGACAACGGAATAATGTAAGTCCTAAGATCGAACATCTTTGATGGGGATTGAATTGTCAGTTGACTCATCTCGTGATCTTGTTGACTCATCTCGTGATCTGGGTTCTCGTGATCTTGTTGACTCATCTCGTGACATTTCATAATGAGTGGAGACCAATTGGAAAGTGGAGGTGAGTTGGAATTGACCTATAGGAACATTTGATTTAGGATGCAAAACAAAAGCTATAAAAATCCAAATTCAGGGGGAAGAGAGCTTCTCTCTTGTGCTTTTGAATGTGCTATGCTACTCCTGTCTTTAAAGGATTATTCTCATCATAAACTAAGTATCCTCTTCAAACTTCCTTGCTACACCCCGGGGCCATCAACTCCTGTGAAAACATCTGAGAACTTTCCTCTTTGAACCTCTGTCATCAAAAATAAGGGACTCAGAAGATTTGGCCTCCACTGCCTGTTAAAAGTGTATTATTGTTGTAAGATATTGTGAGATACATTTTTGGTACAATAAATCGGGTTAACTGTTGTAACTGGAGAGAGTTGTCTCTGTATTCAACACTCCCACATACGATTTGGCACTGATAAGCAAGTTTGGTGACCTCACCAACTATTAAATTAAAACTTTGTTCAATGATGATTCACTTTTATGTCTCCACATGTATTCAAAATATTTTTAGACTTATTATGTTATTAATGGCTCTGTAAGTCCTAAAAGTTTATAATACTCACACAAGTTTGAAAAAATTCTACAGACCACTAAATTATGTAGGCCTCTTTTTTTAAACATTTTACTGTCCTTGGGCTTAGAAAGTTGAGAAATGCCACATTAATGTATTATACTTTAATAATACCTTGCAGAGTTTATGATTCATTCATTCATCCCTTAGTTAGCATTGGGACGGGGTTTCCTCTGGAGCCCATATGCAGCTGTAGGTGCTGCAGGAATTCAGACAGCACTAATGTTGGCCTTCCACACTTTTCAGTCCCTGGATATAGCTTTGGCATCATTGAGGCTTAGTCACAGATTTTGCAGATCCTTCTTGATTTGGTTGAACCATGTCTTTTTAGGTCCCTCTCTCTGTATTTAACAGCCCACAGGGCATTTCCACCAGAGCATCTTATATGGTATTCAGCTGGCGTCCATTCTACAGACATGGCCAAACCGTCTCAATCTTTTCAGTTGGACAGTCTCTTCAGTGGTTGGCTGATTGTCACAATAGGTCCGAATAATTTCATTTTGTATGCGATCATGAAGGATAACACCCAGGATCTGTTGCAGACATCACATTTGGAAAATCTCGAGTTTTTTCAGATCTGGTTTGAGTAAAGTCCATGTTTCAGATCCGTAGAGAAGAATTGGTAGTATTAACATCCAAAATAGGTAAATTTTAGTCTTGAGTGCAATGTTAGTTTGTAAAGTACTATATTATTTTTCCGACTTTCCAACGATTATCGACACTACTGTGTGCCGGAAATAGCCGTTCCCTAACGGGTACTTTACGCGGATTCGCGTTAGTGTGCCAGGCCTGGACTTTCACCGAATTAAATAATGACAAAGTTTGTCAATAACAAAATCAAATATTTAATTAAACTTCTATTAATAAACTATATACAGTATTTAGTAAAAATCAAACAATAATTTATTCAATGAAATTCAACAAGAATCAATCCGACAAACTCAAATCAATCTATTTCTAACTTAATTCTATTCCCCTTTGGAATTCGACAAAATCAAAGAATTAACTTATAAACAATAATTCTTATAAATTAAAGATCCTAATCGTCACCTCAATATACTAGGAACCTATTTCCTCAAACTCTCAAGACTTTCTATAATCGTCGATCCACAAATCGAATAACTTCAAAATCCTATCGGACACCTCTCTCGTTCACTGCTACGGAGCTCACCAAAGCTCGTTGCTATCAGGAATTCACCTCGTTCGTTTTCACTTGAGTTAGAGGCTTTATAGTGTGAGGTGACGTCACAATTCTGAATGAGATCACTCTCCTCATTTACATACTTATCTGTAACATTAAATTTTTCTTGTTTATCTGGCAGATTATTTTCCGACAATACTTCGCTAACCTTTTACATTATTCTTTTTAACAATTATCGGGATGCTTTATTCTTTTAAGGTTTAGCGATTCCTAACTGGGTTGTGGGGTCTTCCCCCCCTTTTTCTCGGTGCGGACTTACTTTTTTCCGTGCAAGTGTGCGCGAGTTTTTCTACGGCGCTTTTCTTTCGTCGGTGAGTTGGTTTTTCTTCTATTTTTAAGTTACTAAGGTGAATGGTGAGGAAACTTCGTCTTAACTAAACATAAGCCCCAAACAAAATATAATGAAAGCAAAATAAAAGTAAAATAAAAATAAAGCTCAGACTTGGTTCCTTACAAGTTTTCCACCATAAACACCATTTTAGTGAGGCAAATGTCGAGGTTGCCTGACCAATAGCGCTATTTATGTCATAGGTAGATGACACTTTCCTCTCTTGGACCAATAATCCCAAATATTTGAATTCTTGCACTTGTTCAATTAAGGTGAATGTTGGCTTGTGATCCATCTGTGACCAAAACTTTGGTTTTATCTACATTGATTTTTAAGACTGGGCGATACAAGCAATGTCACTGCAAGGTATAATCCATTAAAGAATTATACCTTTTACAATGTTTATTATGAAAGTTAAGGAAATTTTAGAACAAAAATAAGAATATGTTATTTATGCACAGTGACAAGTGGCTTTAATTTAGTGCTCCAGCAATCTAAAGCAAGTTCACAAGTCATCTATGCTTCAGTCAGGGATGAAGTTTTCTTAGTTTTTTTATAGTTAAATGTGGATTTCATGTACAAACTAATTCTTTAACATATATAAAACAAATATAAATTTCTAAGATATACAGTATGTAACAAATTCAAACATAAACCATGAATTTTTTATCATATTTCTTTTATTATTTAGATTACCATATAAATAATTGACTTTTTAATTCATAGGTACCCAAAGCAAATATTGAAAGCATTCAAGTGAATGTAAATGAAAATTCTGAAGTGTCACTTTCCAATAAAAAAGAGGTAGGCTACTTTTTTAATATTATATAATAATTTCTGATTACTAATTTTTATCACAGAAGATAATAAACTCAAGGTTATATTTCAAGTTGTAGGCAGTGCAATTCTATACACTATTGCTTTCTCATTTTTTATGCGAAATATTATATGAAAAATAGATTGAAATGCATTTTGTAAAATAACGGTTAAGGAGTTGCTTTCCTGGTGTTATATATTTTCCATATGAAAGGAAAAAGGAAAAAAAAATAATAATATGCAGAATTATACTGTCTACAACACATTTATAATAATCTAGAAAATATTTATTTACATAATCCTCTATATATATATATATACACACGAGGGTGGATCAAATATAAACAGTAATTTTGTTATTCTGCTTACCACACAGTTCCTAGCTAGATGATGTAGAGTGCAGTTGATGTTTGGTTTGTGAGGAGTGGAGGAACTAAATTGGTTAACGAGCAAGCTTGGTTCTGTCGTCAGTACAGCGATGACCGAGCAAAAGGTACATTCATCTGTTGCACAATGCATCATCATAAAGTTTTTAACTTATGAGGGCGTTAAACCCTCGGAAATTTTTATTCAATTGAAGGCACAGTTTGGGGACAGTACACTGTCTCAGAATCGTGTGTATACATGGGCCAGAGAATTTAAGGGTGGGCGAGAACATGTCAAAAACGAAGGTCATGATCAATACCCAAGGACAAGTCTTACAGACGACAACATCCATGCCGTTCAAGAGCTTATTGAATGTGATTGCCAGTTAACTGTTGAAGAAATCTCATCAGAAGTGGGTATCAGCTATGGGAGTGTTTAATCCGTTATCACTGATCATCTTGACTTCAGAAAAATTAGTGCCCAATGGGTTCCGGGGTTGTTGACCGGAAATCAATAACAGGTCAGGAAGAAATGGGCTGAGAAACCCTTGAACACCCTCCTCATAGTACAGACTTGTCCCCCTGTGACTATTTTTTGTTCACACTCTTGAAGGAATTATTTGGAGGAAAACGATTCGCAAGCAATGAAGAAGCATATGTGCAATTGGCTCATAACTTGCCCTCAATCTTTTTATGAGAGAGGGATATTGAAGCTTCAAAATCATTGGCAAAAGTGTGTAGAGCTTGCAGGAGGATATGTATAAAAGAACTAAAATTTTCACTTGTGTACATTATTAATCAATAAATGTCTAAAAAAAATTACTGTTTATATTTGATCCACCCTTGTAATAGGTATACAAATAAAATCATTTACCAACAATACAATAATTTGTGAGAACCGAGAGGGTATGACTATGTCATACCTCCGTGGATTGGTTTTCAAGTTGGAGGGACTTGCACATTAGTCAGAGATGGCTTAAATTTTCTTTTATTTATCCCAAGTGGATGGAATTATAATTTTTCGGGTTGAGTGCCATTGGTAAGGTGACAGGCGATATATGAGTAAAAGAGGATACCAATTTAACAAAGAAACAATGACTTATTAGTTATCTATATTGATGATACAATAATTATTATCAAGGGAAAATTCTGAGTTCTTAAAACGCGAAGGGCCGAGAGAGAGTTCACAAAAATTAGTTCCATACCTCTATGGGTTTAGATATCCTAGAGAACAAAACATAGAGCACAAACGTAGGGCACAAGTTATAGTTAAATCCTCGGAAGCAACTCCCCAGAGGGGGGAGAGAAGTGGTTTTTATCATTTTGTGGTGGGAAAACTGTCAGGTGACTAATTAGTTGCGAGGTAAAAGGTGTGCGGGGAGGTCAAAGTTGTCCCTGGAACCCAAATAAGATGACGAAATCGTATGTTAACTATCAACTTTTAAGTTTGTAGTGTGGGAATATTGTCGAGATGGGCGAATGTTTACTTTGAAAAAAAGGGGAGGTGGAAATTTCTCCCTCTTTCAAGGTGGTTTCCTCTCTATTTTCTAGGGGAATTTAATTGGTTTTTAGGTAAAACGGGACATTGATCGGGAAAAAAAATCTGTAGAAAATCCGGATTTCACAAATTTATTCCAAAACAATTCTTTAATAAATGCTAAATAATGTGTGTATCAAAGATAAAATCATATTTGCATACTAACGAGGTAGATGTGCTTGTTTGTTTATTTTTACAACAATTAAATCTTGGCTAAATTTGATATTGCAGGATGCAGAGCATTTTCAACATTTTCCAAAGTTGATTGACATTTTGATTTTATAATCATCAATGTTGAATACACTGCTTTGAATAAATACATAGTACAAAATATTTACTGTTGTCAAATTTTCTTGACCCTCATATTCAGTTGTGTGATCCCCTTTGGGATCACAACCCATAATTTAAGAAGCCCTGATATAAATAATTAATAATTATAATCAAAACTTATAGATATTGCACTGTTAAAAAGCATAAACTAAAATAGAATAGCTTACATTTGGCATTTTCATATTTTTATAATTTATTCTTTCAAGGACAATGCATTATTGTGTTGCCAAAACAAAAAGAAATGCAATTTTAAATGCATTTGTATGAATTTTTAATATAAAAATTAATTTTAACCTAGATTATTAATATACTTCATCAATTTGTTATTATGGGAAATTGATATTAAACAGAATTAAAAATCCTATTATTTACATAATCAAAATTATATAATTTGAAATCTCTTATGAAGAGAGTTTGAGAACTTAATTAGATTTGAAAAAAATTAGTTTGTGACCAAAAACATCGTCTTGATACAGGATGGTTCATTTTAATCAATCCACTGGAATAACTTAACTTGAAAAATATATGTCTACAAAACATTAATTAAACCAAAAAATGTTAGTTTAAGAAGACCACATAATGATTATATAATTACAGAAAATTGGGTCAACTTCATTTTCTCAATTGTTTCTGATAAAGAAACATTTCTTCTGAAAGGTTCACTTATAGTTTTCGGTAACATGTTCCAATAACTTCTGATGAGACATTTCCAACATATAATTAACTTCCTGAATGCATGTCTTTCAACATGATTTGCAATAAGGAAAAACTTTACATGAGAGGCAAAGGGACTCATGCTAAAGATGTATTGAGAAAATTTAAGATGACCTCAAGTTCAGCTTAAGAACAGATTTTAAAAATCAACCAAGATCAATGTCTTTGTCAAGATCAATATTCTCTTTGTCATAATAGTTTCCTAATTTTATGAAATCATTATTATCTTTCTTTAAATAATGAAATGATACAAAAACTTGTTCCATAGTGTGTTGAAGGCAAGCTTGTGACATTTTTAGCACTTTTCTTCCTTTCTTTACAGATATTCCAAATATGCACACAGTATGTTTTGGAAAAAATGTTTCAGATAAAAGTTTGTTTGCTTTTATAATAGGCAATAAAAAAAGGGGGGTTTTTATTTAAGAAAATGAAGTTGATCCAGGTTTCATTGTTATAGCACCATCTTTTGGCTCCATAAAGTCTAAAATTTTTGGTTTAATGAATTTTTTTTGTAGGATGCATATTTTTTGAGTTATTCCAGTGATTAAAATCACTCTGCATTATAATTTTTCAATACCATGCTCAAGATTATTACCGAATTCATTCTCTACACCAGTGATTCTCAACCATTTTTTCATCACAGTACACTTTTAATAATTTAAAAATTTTGGCACACACAGTTACTTTGGTAAGTACCACAGGACAACCAGTGACATCATAACAGTGATTTTAAAACACAGTTGGTTATTTAGGTCACATTTTCTAAATGCCTTGGTAACTACCGGCAGTTACTTGTAATACCAGTTACAATTTCCAAACGTGCCCTAGGAAGATAGAACTAATTGAACTACTTATCTGACATCGCTTATGGTATGGGTATTTGCAATGGTGGCACACTTCAAAAATCTTGCAGCACAGTGGTTGAGAATCACTGCTCTCCTCTTTAGCCAGCATATTTTTGTTGATCTGGAAATGATTTATAGGCTGCATCACTGCATTTCACGAAGACCTCATAGAAACGAAATGTCAAAGTTGTCAACTGTCTAACCTTGTATTATGAAGCATGAAATGATTAGCAAACATTAAAAACATCTCAATGTACTCATTTAAAACTACGATTTCTGAAATCTTTAAGGAGTTTTGAAGTTTTATTTATTTCTAAATGCCAGATTAAACTGTTTAAATAACACAAAACCTCTTTTGATATTCTTTCAAATATAGAATTGCCATAAAATTAGAAGGTTACAAAATCTTTTACTACTACAAATCAAAATTCTTATAATATATCTAGCTCTTTTATCTTCTATTTCCAATTAAAAGTTAACTTTACACTTCAATCTTTTAAATATATTTCTCATTAATAAATTTGTACTTTTATATTATAAATTCCATGATAATGTTAACTTATTGTAATATTATATCCACTATTATTATATGTTTTTTTATATAAGTTATGAATTAACAGCAATATTTTTTTTCTTACTAGATTGAAAGTGATAATTTAGAAGGAGCTGTAGTAAAAATCCAAGCAGGAATTCGTGGTTACTTAACTAGAAAAACATTGAAAGAACAGAAAGATAATGTATCACCAAACAAAAGTCTGGGTACTGAAGGTAAAAAGTTATCAGTTTTATTATAATATTAAATTGTAAGAGCATTGAATTTTTAAGTAATTTGGAAGCATCTATCAGTATTATCTCCTATTGCAACTTCAATTTCAATAAAAGAAATATCTTTTTAGTCAGAATGCATAACAAAGTTATTCATTATTCTAGATTTCATATTTAGAGTTTTATATAGTCTAAAATGCCAAAAAAAAAGATTTAATATGCCTTTTAATAAAGACAATTTTTTAATGTGTAATATTTATTATAAACATAAACAGAAGAAAACGTTACAAAATTTAAATAATTTTTAAATATATTAAAATACAATATAAATACATTTTTGTTCATGTGTTTGGACTTAATCTTAGATAAACCATAAATTCTTAATATTTTAAATTAGTAAAAATTAGTAAGAAATATTTTTTTACAGAACTATTTTATTTAAATAGAATAATAATATTTCAAAATAAAAACAAAAAAAAAAAAAAAAAAAAATTTGGACACTTAAATATAGCATTTCTTACACTCGTAACAGGAAATTTATACACTCGTAAAAGCGGGGAGGGAGTAAAGGAAATGGTTTATTTTTAACAAATACGGCCGAAATTAATGGAATTTTCGTAATCCACAAGTAATTTATTATGCAATAAAAAAAACTTGAAATACGGCAAACATTTACATAACCGAACTCGATAAGCCAGTTTGAATAAAATTAACTTGTAAATGCATAAATTAGACCCGTTATTTGCCTTCTAACCAGCCAAATTCCTCTCATTTATTGATTTAAATTAATCATCCGGGTTAAGCAAAGATCGTTATCCTTAATAACTGTCAAAATATTAAATATTTACCGATTTTATTATACAGATTTTGCAATTTTCGTAACGTTTCAAGTCACTCGTTTCGAACAAACTCAATTTCCTCCGGGCGATAAAGCACACGAGATAAATATCATTATGTTTAAAAATGGAGATCAAAGATCGTCATTNAAATAAAAACAAAAAAAAAAAAAAAAAGATAAACAACTTATCTAATATATATACAGTGGGTGATCAGTTAACGAACATAATCTGTTCCAAAACTTTGTTTGCTATCTGATTATTGATTTACCATAGGTTTTTATGGGAATTTGATTAATTCACTCTGGAGACCCCAAAAAATAAAAAAATATATACTTTCTTACTATGTTTATTTATATGTAATAATAAAAATACATATATACACAGTCTTGCATTTTTTAGTCATGTTTTTTTCCGTTTGTGGGGTTAAAGAATCTGTCTAATGTTGATTGTTTTTCTCTCTTCTTCAAGATTTTTCAGAAGTAATTAATAGCATTAATAGCATTGTAATTGTAGAGATACCTAAGCCTATATGGTTTGGATGCCGTTCTAAGACCGTTGTTCTAACATCATCCCGATTCTTCAAGAAAATGTTTAATAGCAAATATCAACATTAATTCTCTTTTTCAGAAAAGAACATATCTCGCCGAGTTTCTTGGTGTTCTTCTGTCATCAGATCCGTTTCAGATTCCATTATGAGCTCTTCAATGTTCTTTATTTCTCAGATGTGATTTTTGTTACTCCTTAAGCTACTTGAGTCTTTTTGATAATACAGTATCTTTCTTAGATAAGATTGAACTAAGCTTACTGTAGACCTGTTCAAGCCATACTGCCCAGGAACAACAGACATCAGACATCTGCCACTCTCTACCTTTGCTATTATACTCTCACCTTTCGAAAATAAAAACTGATGCAAAACTTAACAAGTGCCTGCCTGACAGTCTTGCGAATACTATAAAAAATTGTTTCTGTCAGAAAAATAAAAGGCCGAAATTACAAGGAAGAGTTTCAAAGTTCAGAGAAATACTATCCGATCAGTATATATCAGGTTGAGTGTCGATGTCATCTCTCGTGCTCCAAAAAGTTTCGAACTGTTGTCCAAAGATAAGAGAAGACCAATCAGTATTCATTATTTTACGTTGCTTCTTCTTGTGTTTGTTCTGTGAGGTGTTTGTTATCTGATTTGTTCATTAACCGATCACCCACTATATATATTTAATTCTGCACTGTGGTCCGGTTTTCAATCATGCTCACAATTGGTTGAAAGACAGTTGGTCTATCTGGGATATGTTGGATCCTGTGAAAATTCCTGGACTGTTACCACTCTCAGGTCCTTTAGATTAAATCTGAGTGACCAGCCAATGCTTTAACTGCCATCTGCTGTCTATCTGATACATTTAACATTTTAAAAAATAAATACTAATACAGTAGAGCGTCGATTTTCCGAATCAATTGGGGACTGGGGTTGTTCGTATAACTGATATTTCGGATAACCGATTTATGTATGAAAAAATAGTTTAACGTGTCCGATGATAAAATTTTTATCCGTTGCGTGTCGCTTTGCGTTGAATTTTTGTCGATGTTAAGCCTAACAAAGACTATTGTATCGTTAAAAATTATTTTTTTATTTTGTACAAACAAAATAAATATATTGAAAAATATAAAAACAATAAAAAATTATTCTTCAATGTTAATTTAGTATCAAAAACGTAAAATATTTGAGTAGCCCAAGACATAGCCAAAGATTGAAGCGCCACAGCACTGGCGAAAATTTAAATTTGCCATCTGGAATTCTTTCGGATGATTGACGTTTCGGATGATTGACTTTCGGAAAATCGACGCTCTACTGTAGTTGGTAATAACTTATTTTACAAACATATTTAATTGATTGATCAAATTTGAGACAAATATGCATGAGTAAATGGTTTTTCTGTTTGTCTGAACTAGGATAAAACTAATACTTTCTTCAATGACAATATTTCAAAAATTGTAATAATAGTTACATACAGTTTTTGAGCCACTTTTGACTCCCTTTCTTCCTGTCATGTACAATGATGTACTTGTACTTTTGTATGTACAATTAAATAGAAGGAATTTGCAAATAGGTTATGGATCCTCTTTTACATTGTAGAAGTTTTTAACTCATAGTTTAGTCATTTCTTCAAATATTTTTTTATCAATACTAGCAAGTGGGTTTATAAGAAAAACACATGTGTCTAATGCCAAACAATTGCCAGATAATTTCAGGCTATAATAATGTTACTATTAATAATTAAATGTCAAGAAATTTGGCTTAGAGATAGGCATTAGGTACCATCTCTTGATAAATTTAATAATTATTAAATGCATTTTTGACAAGACTATGTCTTGTTTACAAAATCATACTGCCTGCTAGGTAACCAGCTTAGAGGTATGAAGAGTACAGTACATGTCAGGAGTTGCAATTTGGCACAGAGTATTAGGTGCCCAAATCATGCATACATAAAAAAAAAACCAGACTTGTGGGTACTCGGGACTGAGAACTGAGTCAAAATAAAATTCAAAATGGCAACACACTCTACAAAAAGGCAGTTGTGCAGATTTGCGCATGCGTTGCTCGTTGGAAAGTTGGAAATGCAAACATTGCAAAATTGAATTTTGACAAACGCTTGAGTTGGGAAGTTTGAATAAAAAATCAAATTTTGACAAATGAATCTTTGAAAAAACCCATTTACTTGTCCTGTGTTATTTTCGGTATATATCTGTTTGTGATGTGCTGACCCTGACTGGTTGACCTGAGATATCTCGTTTCAACATCGGAACCTTTTTTTCAAAGTAGATGGTGCTAGTCATTATAATTTTATATTAAAACTAACTTCCGAAATATAACTTGTTTTTTTCTATATTTATTAATATATATATTGTTTGTGCAAAATAAAAATAATTTCGGTTGGTACAATAGCCAGGATTATTTTTTTCAAAAATGGGAAATTTTCGTTAGGCATCAACAAAAATTCAACCCAGGGCGACATGCAACATTGAGAAATTTCGATAGGTTAAGTTCACCGAAAATGCATTGTGAACGACTTTGTGGTCATGGGCAGTGAAGTTTGAAAGATCATGCTCAAAACCAGCAATATCAAAGAAGATTGGAGAATGAGAACAAGACCTACCTTGAGCATCAAAGTGATTCCACTTAGTAGCGACTCTCTGAGACATAATCTTGTCCCAAATACAGCCTTACTATTTTACTTATGCAGTTATGCAGTTTACGGACTACGGTTGTTTGAAAGGTTTCTTCCATAAAATTAATCGATTCTAGACTAATTTGACTCAACATTTCCAAAATACGTATAATTTTTTGGGAATAATCCATATAAACTATGCTATAAACAAAAAATTGTAGGATTACTTACTGAGTGTGCACCGTTCGACTACACCGTTGCTTAAGCTTGTTTTTGTCATCGAATGGCGCTCGCGTGCTTCCTGATAAATTATTATTTAACGTCCATAAAAATTATATTTATATTAATGATGTCTCTAAAGTTCAGCGAATTTTTTGCAAAAAAAAGAAATGGTTTTTGGTAGGTCCGCTGCTTGTTTAAACTCAACGGTTTGTGCAATCCTGTCGCAACACGGGTCGGCGATGACATTTTACCAAATTACAGGTATACCTCGAGTTACGTCGTTTCGAGTTACGTCATTCCCGATTATACGTCGTTTGTCAAAAAAGTATACGGAAAAAAAAAGTCAAGATTAAGTCATTTTATTCGACTTTACGTCCGTCCGCCACAAATATTGAAGTCGTAATATCACTAGAAAAGCGTTTAAAGCACATAAAATCATATTAAAATATATACATTTACAAGTATGTACTGTATTTACAGAACAGTACATGCATTCGTAAATTTAGATTACTTTTTTCTGTACTCTATTAAAAACTGAAATTTATTTGTTTGTAAGCTTAAGATAGATTCTTATTAACCATATATTATTAAAAATGCATTAATAAATAAAATACAGATCTGGGAATAATAATTTATGGTTTTTCCTAGTGACAAGTAGATTCGGAGACAAGTAAATTCGACTTACGTCGTTTTTCGACTTAGGTCGTTTTCCTGGAACCAATTACCGACGTAAGGCGAGGTATACCTGTATAGGAGTTCTTTTAGCATGTTTGTACGAATACTGTTGCAATTTTTTCACCGTGATATAGGAATCCAAACTATAGGAACCCATGTTATAGGGGGTCGACTGTAATTCATATGCCACTAATATCACTAAAGGAAGTCTTCATAGATAATATCTTGACCTCCTTTCCTCTCCCATGTACTAGTAAAATTATGTACTTTTTGCAATACCACATACCTTAAACAATTGGCACCATCCATTAATGCTTTTTATATCTGATTAATATATTTGACAGGAAAATTCCTCAAATGCATAACAATTATATCATCACAATGTTATATTAAAATATGAAATTTTAAAACTAATTGTTTTACATTTTTTCCAGAATCACATAAAGATGATTCAAGTAAAACTGAAATTAGCAAAGAAGAGAAATCAAGTGAAATCTCTGAAAAAGAAATATTACATTCATCCAATACACAAGAAATGTCTGATGATTTAAATGAAGATGATGCTGATGTTGAAAAAGCTGCAGTTAAAATTCAGTCAGTTTATCGTGGATACATCACAAGAAAAAACTTAAGTAACATTGGAGATGAACTGACAGAAGAAGAAAACAAACAAACTTCATTTTCTGAAAAGGAGTCATCTCAAGATAAAGGAGAAATTGAAGAAGAAGAAGATGATGATGAAGATGAAAATGAAAGTGGTGCATTAGAACAAGCTGCAGTTAAAATTCAAAGTACATTTCGTGGTTATCAAGTTAGAAAACAAAGAAAAAATGGACCAAAAAAAGAAGACGGCAAAGAGCAATTGTTAATTGATACTGATGAAATTCAAGACGAAAATGAAAAACTTGAATCAAATGATCCTGAAGCTGAAGGAAAAGCTGCAGTAAAAATTCAAGCCATGTATAGAGGTTATAAAGTACGAAAAGAAATCAAAATGATTGGAGAAGATGGCAACCAAAGAACAGAATTTGAAGATGATGATAAATCAGATACTAACATAGACGAATATTCAGAAGAAACAGATAATGATGGCATTTTGAAATCTAAAGCTACCATTGTACTTTCAACACCAACAAGCAATGTTAGCAAAGACAAAACAAACGAAGAAGTTTTAATAAGTTTTGATACAGATTCAGTTCAACCAATGGCCGAATCACCATCTCTTCTTGACAGAAATGATGAAGAACAGTGTTTTCAAAAACCAATGGTTCCTATTAGTAATGAAACAACAATTCCAAAATCAGTTTCAGAACCAACTGTTGACATTAATTCTGTCACCAAATCAAAAGAAGATCATTTAATTTCTCCATCCAGTGACTGAATATGTAAAAAATAATAAATTCTTTATAAATTCTATTAAAATTAAAGAATACTGACAATTGATATCGATATGCGGCGACTCCATTCCGTACAGAAGATAATTGACTGTTAAATCATCTCTACAGTCATTGAGAAGGCAATATAACTCAGAACAACTTAGTGATTCTTAATAATTATAAATTATGATAAGTTCTGTAATACTTATAGAAAATAATTGATATTTTTGAGACATGATTCATTAAATTTATGTGATCTGTCCATTAATTAAATTTATATGAGTTTTGTCAGCCTGTATTATAATGATATTTCTAATAAATGAAATTGATGATAAAACATATTTACTGTGTGTATTAAATTGAAAAATTAGACAATAAATACAATAATTTTTTATCGATAACTGAATACAGTAGGTTTTTGTTTGTTTTCATAGATGTCAAATAGATTAAATCATTTTAGTACTGCTGAATTCTAACTTAAATCAATAAACCATATTTTTTCAGCTTGATACTCCAACTTGACAAAATACCTGAATGCTACTCGCCCTGTTTTAATGTATTACACTTGATATGGTATAATAAAATTTTGTTCTGTATATTCAGAAATGTCAGACTAAAATGTTTTACTTAGGTTTTAACTACTACATGTAATCATCTGTAACTACTTGGAGTGAAGCACAAATTTACATATAAAAAAGACCTACTGCAATAAATTTTCAATAATAAAAATTCTAAAAAATTTTTCTATTGCACTTAATTCTAAAGATAACTCTTTTATAATAATCAATCTCTTTCCATCTGCAATTTTTTCTAAATTAATTTTTATGACTAGAAACATTATAAGAAAATTATTAATTTTTTAAAATTAATTCAGCTATAAAGTTCACTCAAATTTTTTCTAATTAGAATAATAACTGAAAATTTTAGAGACTTATTTTGCTAATTATTTTTAAAATTAATATGTATCATTATAAATTATACAAATATAACTATATTTATAAATAACCACACTAAAATAATACATAATAATATAGTAAAACCTCACCTTGTGATCACCCTCCTGTAAAACTGCATAAGTTTTAATAAAAGCCAAACACTGTCTTGGTGGCGACCAGCCACCTCACCAAAGTGGCCAACAGAATAGGAAAATGCAGCATTTCTAAACTCAATATGTTGTTTAAAGCACTTTAAATGGAATTGAGCTTTGTTACTACATTTTTGGAACAGTTTACAAAGTTCCCTCAACAGATGACATTTAATGTAAATAAAGATTATTTTATTTATCTCCAGAGTTTAGTAAGAAGAAAGTCAATTACACCTAATTAATTAATTAATTATTAACCATACAACATTGATTTCCATTGAGATGAACTTATTTACTATAATATCTTACTCTTCAAAGCCATTCTAATTTTAGATGATTTGTTAAATTATTTTTGAAATGAAATGAAAACCTGAGATGACCCACTCTGGAAAGTCTGACTTGAAATGTAACTGTCATATCTTCTTCATACTGAAAGCCTTGCAGCATCATATGTAAAAAAAATTATTTTTCGATTGTTTTAATTTGAATATTAAAATAAGTATTCGAGAATTGACTATTCCTGTTGCTGTTGAAAGCTTGCCTGTGGCTAGACTGGGGTAAGTTGGCCCCTTTTGCCACTTGGCGGGCCTTTCTGACCATTGTTGTTTTTGAATGAATGAAATACATAACCTAGAATGTTTATTAATAAAATGCATATTTTCTTTTAGTAAAAATAATGTTAATTTTATAGGAGTAGGAACTACTATGGGTCCCTAAGTTTTCTCTGGCCTGGGAAAAAATCCCCAGCTCACCCTTGATGGCCCATCTTAGGAATAGATGATCATGTGAGGCAAATGAATTAATAATGTAAATTGAAGAGTTAAAAACAGAATGTGTTATCAAAGATAGGTGACTTTAATTTTAATAATAGTGCTTTGGTATGAAACTATGGAAATTAGTGTAGTGCTTGATTAATGTAAGTATAGTGTGCAAACAATTTAGAATCTTGACTATTATATTTAAAAAATTAAAGCTAAAAGGAGACATGGATTCAGATAAGTTGTCTTTCAGTAGTTTACATATTTTATGAAATATTAAATTTTTTAATTTTCTTTGAAACTCTATTCAATGTCTTATTTTATTTTCATTAAAACATTAATTAATGTATATATTAAAAGAAATTATTTTTTACTAGTCCTTTAGTGCAAAATTAGATTGTTTTGATTTCTGAATTGTACACTGTCACTTCTTTTTTTACACAATTTTCTGTTTTCTAAGGTTTTAAACATGATAATGTTAAAAGATTACATAAATATTTAGTAACATAATAAACATCTTTCATATAACAATAGTTAATAAAAAATAAAATATTTAAATGCTTTTTTATTCCACATATATGAACAGTTATCAGTATAATTCTAAGATATTCAGAAACATACAGTAAAAATTATTTTTATTTTTTTGCAAATCATTTTACATTACAAATATAATTTTATAGGGAAAGGTATAATTGTTATAATTTGAAATTGCTTGTTTGAATTCANTTATTGAATTATATATCGACCATTTTGGTCAAATACCTGTTGTCATCATTTCTGGTAGTAGCATGATTTCACATTCATAAAAGTTTTGATTGTTGCTTACAAAAAACTGATCCAAGTAATTTTTGACATTGTCATTTCAAGTAAATGTCTTACAGTTAAAAAAAATTTGTATAGACTGTAACAAGTAATAATCTGAGGGTGCTCGATCTGGCAAATATGGTTGGTGTGATAGCACATCCCATCTAAGTTATAACAATTTCTGACCAGTTACCAAACTTGTGTGAAATTTGACATTATTGTGGTAAAACACTACACCTGTTTTGTTGATCAATTCTGGCTGCCTTTTCTTTTTGATGATGATATTCAATTTGTTTACTCAATGGCAGTACACTTTTGAATCAATTGTTGAACTGTCTGGTAAAAGCTCCAAAAAAATTTCCTTAAAATCCCAGCAAAGAGAGCATCTCTCTTTAAGAACATGTGGAACCCATATATCAAGCTTTGAAACAAAACCAATTTGTTTCAAGTAATCATAAACAGTTCAATTTGACAAATTTAATCTCTTAGTGATTTCACGTGTTATTCGGTAGATTGCTTCAATCAGTACCTTTATTTTGTTTTCATTGCTTCAACTGGCCATCCAGAATGTGGTGCATCTTCAATATTGAAACTGCCAGAACAAAATTTTGTAAACCAGTTTTGGCAGTGTCTTTCTCTCAACACATCATCTCCATACACGTCACACAATTTTTTTTCTCGCTTGAACAGCAGTCTTACCTTTTCGGTAATAAAAGAGCAAAATATGCCAAAAATACTGTTTTCGATCTTACATATTTGATGGGACACAAAAAATAAACAATTTCACAAAATCAAACAAAATTTTTTACAAATAAGCCTTAAAATGCTAGCTGTCAAAATATATAATCATAATACGGTTTAGAATGAAAATGGTGGGAAAAATACAACTAATCCGTCTAGTGGTAAAAAAAACGAAATTACTTTCCGAACAACCCAATAAATAGATCAGTTCAGTATTAATTGCAATAATTTCAAGCATATTTTGGAATGAAATTGATTCAGCAAGCAAGCTTCATTCATTTTAAAATAACTTCCATATTGTAATCAAATATATGTGGTGCCCGTCCCCCACGTTGTCGTGATTTGGGCAAGTCCGATGTTGTGCGCAGGAATTTGGTGCAGGCGGGAAAAAAGACGAACCGTTAGAATCACGACGTAACGCTAAAGACGTGTCAGCTCAAAGACGATAATATTTGTTCAACAATTAGTATTAAGATAATTTGTTTAGTGTTCTTTGTTTGTAATGTTCCTTTTGTGTATTGTATTAAAATATACGTCATTATATACCATAAGAAGTTCCTCGTATTCTTTCTTAAACTGTGTTCCGTATATACTTGTTTACGCCCAGCCCAGCCATCTTTAGACATCCACATATATTTATCAGTTCATAGTGTTGTTCTTATAATTAAAAGTCAATTTATTCAAATAATTCACAAGAATAAATTCTGTAATAATCCTATCATAATTTTTATCTTCTATAATGTGTATATACAGTAATTCTCAATTTTCTGGAGAAGAAATTTAATGTTACTTTAGTAAAATGTCTGAAAAAAACAAGTTTATAATTTAAATGAATAACTCAAATGGCTCATCTGCTATTATTTTAGAAAATTTCATAAGTTTATTTTTTTTAAACTAATAACAAAAAAATAATAATAATCTACATCTTCATATTTTGTAGAATACTTTTAATTGAAGCAGAGTGTTAGTAAAGTTTTTTCTATGTGGATTATAAAATTGTTTGATCTCAAAATTTGATCAATTCAATTTGATTAAATTTTGTCATTTTCCATTAATTGCAATGAGGAATCCAAAAATGTTATAAGGTTCAACGTAAATGGAAAAAATATCAGTCCACAACTTTGTTGTCAATTTTACCCTGCTGTATATTAAAAACAGAGAGGTTGCAGCCAAAGTTTTCATCTCTAAGTTACGAATGTCAAATGTTGAGCGCTACTATCTTGTTAGCCTAGAAGTTTGACAATGGTGTTTGGAATGTCGAACATGATTCCAATGACGTTCCAAATGACATTGTCAAACTTCTGGGCTTACAAGATGGTGATGCTCAACGTTTGACATTCATATATTAGAGATGAAAACTTTGGATGTAACCTCTCTAATGTCCATGCTTTCCAACACAATTGAGTGCATCTAACAGAATTAGGGGTCAAATAAACAAAACTGCATGTGACTAACAGAAAATAGACGCAAAAAACAAACATGAGAACAAAGCAATCAGCATCAATTGATTTTTTCTCAGATCACTTCTCTGTGTTGGCAAGTGCAAGGATAGCATCTTTCACGGTAGCAAGTGCAAAATTCACCTGTCAATGACTGTCAGCTACATGGATTATCTCTTCTGTGCCTAACAAGTACAAGAATCACTTCTTTCTTTCCAGCTCTTCCTCAATTCTATTACAATATGATAAAGTCACACGATGTCTTAGTTTATTTATATTCTATTCTTTGATA